CACGCACCTGCCGCGAAACGAGTGCCCGAGTGGTCTTACCTCGCCGCGCAGGGCTCCGCATGCCGCCGCAAGGCTGGGCCGCCCCCCAAGTCCAGCCAACAAGGCTGCCCCCCCCTCTCCCCGAGGGCAACGCGCTACCCCACTCAGGGAAAAAACAACGGACAAAGTGTATGGGTGTACCAGGCCCCCCGTCCGCCCCAAGCTCGCGCGCCTCGGCTTCAGCAATTTCCCTGTGTGTAGGTCAGAAGGTAAACGCATACGAGGCCGAACACTATACAAAATAACACACACAAGAACCCCTAAGAAGTCAAACACCCCCCCTCCCCCCCCGGCTCCACCGCATGGACCCTCCGCGGCGCTACATGCCACAAGTTGCGAACTGCGTGCGCAGATTCTCCTCTTGTTTCGAAAATCTTCACTCGGGAACCGTTTGCCGCATTTCTATTCGCGCAGCCACCGCCTTCCCGCTCCCATTCTCCTGGCATAGTCGGCAGCGTTCAGCAAGGCTCAGCCTGCTTCGACCATTCTGGCGCTTTCTTCGCTGCTTCCCCCGTGTCCCTGGTAGCACCCTGGTAGCACGGTCGTGCCCAACGAAGAGCGCGCGCCCAATCGTAGACCCAGAGAGGATTCTGCTCGGCCGATGCATCCAAAACCGCGGCCACATCTTTGGCCCAATCGTAGCAGACGTCGTACAGTACCGTGGCCACCAGCGGGCTTTCCTTCTGCATTGCGGAACCACGTGGCCACCAGTACGTGGCCACCATCGTTGCTGGCTTGTGCGCAATCACGAGACGCCGCCGAAGCTGCCCGGTGTCTTGAAACCGCTGCCACCGCTTCCATGTACTTCCCCTCGGCCATGGGACGATGGCGCAAAGTTTGGCCGACTATTCGCCACACACTTCTCCGCTGGCGCGTCGTCCCTCTGGCGGCCGAAGGCCGCCAGGGACGAGGGGGCAAAGCATGCCCGACGCCTAACCACACACACACACCGCCACGGTGGCGCATCGTCCCTGCTGGCGGCCGAAGGCCGCCAGGGACGATGGGGCAAGGCATGCCCGACGCTTAATCGCGCACACTTCTCCGCTGGCGCGTCGTCCCCTCTGGCGGCCGAAGGCCGCCAGGGACGATGGGGCAAAGCCTGGACGCCGCGAACCTCGCCCGCCCACCGATCGAGCCGCATTCTCCCCTTCTTCCGCCTTCACTAAGTTCCCCCCGCCCGGCGGCGCCCCCCCGCCCCCCCTTATACAAGGTTAAATGGTAGGGAAACTGTGCGCGATTCTTCCTCCCCGCCGTTTTCACCATGGGCAGGACCGCGCCAGTGGGACTCGCGTGTGGTCACCTCCTTTACACTCGTTGAACCTTGGCCACAGTCCGGTGACGCCTTCTGCGTTGCAGGCTCGTCATATGGGTTCCCAGTCGCGCAAACATTTAACCTTGTACAAGGGGGGCGGGGGGCGCGGGGGGCGAGAATAATCCGGGGGGGAATAATCCAAGGCGGGCAGCCCACCAAGGCAATTCTCTGCCCCCTCGTCCCTGGCGGCCTACGGCCGCCAGAGGGACGACGCGCCAAGGTGCGCTTGTTGGCGCGGAATAATCCAAGGCGGGCAGCCCACCAAGGCAATTCTCTGCCCCCTCGTCCCTGGCGGCCTACGGCCGCCAGAGGGACGAC